CAATCACTGAAGCCAAATTTCCTTTAATTGAGTGGTACTCGATACATAAAATCATGGAAAATCTAAAACTAGCTAGCAGTTCTAAGGATTATTATGGTATAAAGAAGCATGCCTAATATCAAGTGATGAACCCATCTGCTCAAACTAGAATTCTGTTAAACAAACAAACCTGGTACATGGTACAAAGTCAAGGTAATGTTGATGATTCACATAAGCACTATAAATTTAAAGCTCAAGTCACAAACTCTATCGGATCAAAATCAGAGATATTGTAGTCTCATTCACTGTGATATCAGCGAATCTTCTTCTGGATTGAGATGCTAAGGACTCTAGCTTAGTGATAAAGTGCATAAGAAATGCTGGTTTTGAGGGCACTCGAAGAGATACAAAATAGCTACTAAGCATGAGAACAACAGAGGCCATGGTTGGCCTTCTAGCAACATTTTCTTGAACACATAGTAAGCCTGCCTGCCTGCATCTCAACAATTCGCTCCTTTAACCATCCCTGAAGATCGGATCTATAAAATTCAAAGCAGTCCCTTCCATCCAATTTTTCCATGCCTGCATAGATTGAAAATTTTTCATGTACTTTACCCTTAAGATAAAGTCTCTTGATTCTTGGTATGATTATTTGACTCTTAAAACACAAAAAAATGAAGCTAAGGTTAAGTATAACTTACATTAGTTTGAAGATTTTCTCCTTCTTCTCCATTACTGAGATAGATTTTTTAACTACTAATAATCTCGAGAGGGAGTACGCCAAAGCTATGAACATTAGACTTAACTGAAAAATTCTCTTTCGTCACGTACTCTAGAGTCATATATCTACTGGATGCGATTGCCAAAGTGAGGATTCATTTATTTGGACAACACAAAAGCTGTAACTACAAGGTGATTCTTATACATATGGTGTTCCAGAAATTCTACTCGGATTAGCTTGCGTTTGATCCCCTGCAAATAACCTTGCCATTCCAAAATCTAAAATTTTGGGATTCATTTTAACATCTAATAGAATGTTGGCAGCTTTTAAATTAAGATGGATGATTCAATATTGAGAATCTTCATGACGATACAAAATGCCTCTAGCTATTCTCCCTATAACTTTGTATCTTTTATTCTAGTCCAGTAGTAAACGTTTGACAGGATCTACAAATTCACAAAATTAATGGGTTTAAATAGATTAGAGAAAGAACACTATACTATCGCAAATGACATATGATACTAACACACATTTCCTCTAACAAACAATATTTCGAGCAAATTCAACTCGTGCATCATAAAAAAAAGCACAAGTATTGATTCTTAAGGTGAAAAGAAGAGAGAACGCACGGAATATAAACCATAAAGTGATCAAGGCTTGAGTTGGGAACGATCTGAGTATCGCAACATGCAATTGACATAGGATAGAATTGCTGCCTTCTGGTTGGGACAGAGACTTCTGAGCTCGGCGGCAGCGTCGTTGATGCAGTTAATGCAATCACCAGGTATTACATCACCCCTACAGAGGGCGATTGCGTTTAATTTGGTCTGAGTTTTGACCAAAAGAAACATTGTAGAACCCATAACTATTTTCCGTGTCAGAGGTGAAGGAAGAGAAGATATGATTGAGGCTTGCCTGGTAGGTGCTGTTACTGGTGAAGTTTCCCCTGTCCAATAAACATTCTCTGAACTCCAGTTCTGGCTGGGAACTAGAGACGGTAAGGAGGTGGATTAAATACAGAAAAATAAAGAAAAACTTTCCTGAAAAGCCCATTATTAGAACAAGGTTGTCAAGATCGCGATTTACATCGTAAGATTGTGCGATCTTACGATGTTAACTAGATTCAGCAATCTAAATGGTATAAAAATCGGAGATCTTAATGGAAAATAAAAAATCACGATCAAG